TACATACCATAAAATGTCAAAATGCTAAATCATATTATTCTGTTATTTTATGGGATTTTATATGAAGACCCCCGTTAAAGAAAAAAACAAATGTTTGTGGTACCATGAACTCACTTACGAAGTTTCATTAACAATCAGACTACAGGTATTGTATGTAGCTTACAGATCCACACACACTGACAAAACAATACTTTCTCCGTACTCTATGTGTAGAGGGAAAGTAAAAATATAAAAAAGTATAAAATGACATATAAATGTTTACACCTCTAGCTGCACAACTGCAACAAACTGTAGGCTTTTTGTTTCAGTAAACACTCACGGTAAAACTATGTCTTTAACACATAGGATCGATAATCTTTGTACATACAGAGTGCTAATTTGTTCGTGGACTCTGGGTTGAGCAATTGGTCACCCGTGGTTGGCCGAACGCCCAAATAGCCATCAAAACACAATATAGCAAGTGGCATGGCTAGAACACTCGATGTTTTAACTGACGACGCTTACAAACTATTGTTAGATCGCAGTCAAGGTTCCCTACAACAATACAGTATGTACTCCCAATTGACACTGACACCATCTCGCATGCTCTTTGCTTGATGTTGATTTTGAGCACAATTTCATATAGTGTAATAGTTTGTATTTAAATTTTTTTTAACGTAACGATTTCGTAAATAGGTCCAATATACAAATTTACTGGTAGTAGTTAAACTTGTTTGTTCGTAGGGTTTATTTGAGTATTATCATAGACAAATAAAATAGTTACGGATAGCGTGTGCGCATTAACTACTCGGCGCTCCTTACGGTGGACGCCAGAACTTGCCAACCCCAGCACTGCTGTCGGATCTAAGTATAAAAGAGGTTGTTTGATATATATATATATTTGGCAGTGATAAACTTGGACACCGCTGGACCAATGGCCATGAAACTTGGTACCGTACATACATGTAGAATTTGATGGAGTAGGTTTATACAAGTACATCATTACTTTTGTGATAACTTTCAGGACTTAGCCCTCCTGGTACCATCTCTTAAAGGTAACCATGTCAGGGATTTTAAAAAAGGATCAAAGCATATTATTAACAGCTGTTTCAAATAAACTAACGAGTTAAGTCCTATGATGTTCGACAGAATTAACAAGTTACAAAGTTTACCAACAGATTGCAGCACTAATATGTTTTCCCCTGTTGCAAAGCGAAAGCATGGGTACAGCAACTAGACTAGACAGACTAACACCCTTAGTTTGACCTTACTCCCCAGTAGTCCCATATGTCTAATTAGCTTCCGTGATTATGCTATATAAGAATGTATTTAATCTTTAATAACTGTTACTATACGGAATAATAATGTAAACGGTCATAGCCCGTAGTGAAGTTACAACTTCAGCCGGTTCATAACAAAACTCAAAAGTATGTCGGGCGAAGCCGACGGGCAACAGCTAGTTTAATTTACTATTTGTCTCTGGTATTATGCAAAGGTTTACAGCCCTGAGATGAGTTTTAATTAGATGTGGAATGAGATTATTTTACAAAGATACGGTTTACCACAAGTATTTACTTGTTCATCATCGGTACTACATAAGTTTGGATTGGTTACCGTCTATACTTATTCATTATTTCATATTCGTTCTGGAATCAATTTGTGTATAAATGGTATATGGTTAAGCAGAAAATCATCAAGCGAGGATTATGGGATTTATCCGCGAAACTGCCTCAGAATGAAACCTTACTATTGTAACATAACATGGGAGGGAGCTCTACCTCAATTGAATTTTTTCTCCCAGTTGTGGACCTGCCGCCCTCGTAAGATTAGTAAGATTTGTATGACTCCGTGGCAAAAAAAAGGTCGACGGGACCTTTCGCTCGTTCCACATCGAACTGGGTTTGCGATGTTGATGATAGTGTTTACACTGTGCGGGATTAAAGAGTGATTCTTTGTTGTGTAAACACTGCCTGAAGGGGCGGGACACTGTCGTTAGGTATGTACTATGTGTCGTGCATCTACTGTTCCAGTAAAGTGAAGCTATTGCCGCAGTGTCAAGTAACACGCTATTGGGCTGTTTGTTGCAGCAATGAGAGAGCGCAAAGGTCACGACTACACGAGCGAGGCACCAGCGCAGAGCGTCGCTACAAACGTAGTCACCGTCGCTCCCCGACCTCCAGCCTACATCGTAGACACCACAAGGAACGGTACAGGGAGCGTGAGAGGGAGCGAGAGAGGGACCGGGACCGGCGTCACCATCACAAGAGGGACACGAGGGACCGTCGAGACACGGAGCGACGTAGCTTCTCGTCCAGTCAGGTGAGTGCCTTAGTGTTCACCATAGTTAACCGTCCTCAGCTGTTTGTTCCCCACCGCTGGACTGGAGAGCTATTTCAGTCGCGCGCTGCTATTTCGTCTATTTGCGTACGCTTCGTCATTTATAGCGGCACGGCGGCGTGTCGGCGTGTCGGCCGTTCTAGTAGTCATGTTTCTCGAGGAAGTGATACTATACGAGCCGGTGCCTGTGCTGGAAGTTCCGCCCCCTAGGAGGCGACCTCCTATACTAGAGGAGGGATGTTTGCCGCTGCGACGACGAGGGTCGACCCAGCAGACACCGAGGGTGAGGCGCCGCCCCGTGCCGCTGGCTGTGGACCCGGACCTGGACCTGGGACCTCTCAGCATCGCCGTGCCGCACCACCGTGTGGCGCTGGTAGATCCTGACTGGTGGCCTGTGCCTCCGCCACCACCTCTACACATCCCCTACCTCGTACGTAGCCTACACACACACACACACAATGTCAAGCGATTTGTCAAGCTCACAATGTCTGGCAATGAGTTTGGCGAAGGCAGCTTCTTGTTTCTGAACAATTATTTCTACTTGTCTAGAAATCACACTCATTTAGGCGGTGATTAATAGTACTATATGGATAGGTATAAATGTTTACATGTAGCCCATCTTATGTATTTCGTAACAAGATTCCTGTGTTAGATGATTTGGCACTACGTGGGAATTCCTCCCGTTTTCAAGTGGCCTTAATATCTACATATTTTACCTAACTAACCTACCTATTTTCCCAGTTTTTTTAGTTGTATTATTTTTAGGTTCTGTTATATAAAAAAATGTAATATATAAGTGAAAAAATAAGTAGGTCTAAGCTGAGTTGGATAGGGCAATTAAGTAAATGTAGATATCGAGGTCTCTTGAATACTGGAGGAGTTCCCTAACCTCCCGAGACGTGTGGTAGAAAAATTAAATCATCCTTCGTAATCATGAACCTTAATGGTATTTCATGACAAAATTATCAGGAACTAATTAAGTTTATCGTTTTGTTATGGTTACTTTATTATATCATCATAAAATAATACCCATAACTTGTTTATCGTTCAACACTTAATTGCTTGATATCACCAGTGCCTGGTAATAAAACATCTAGGCCTAAATCATTCCAAAGTAACCATCTTGAAGCAGACTATACTGTACACTGTTCTTTGTTTGGATAGATATTAATCTCGGAGTGAAGCATATACAGTAAAGAACGAAATTAGCTATTTATAACTTGTGTTCTGCGTATCAGAAGATTTGTTTTGATCCATAAATTGCAGTGTGTTACAGCTTGCCATTCTTTGTCTTTCTAAACTGTTTAAAGGCTAAATATAGTCGACCCCATGTTTTGTCATACTTCTTGAAGAAACTAGGAAATCATAATATAACAATTTCGTACTTTCATATATGCTACAAATGAAGAGCACAATGTGAGAAAATATTATTACCACCGTCAATTTTATGATATTCATACAAATGTTATTGTAGTATAACTAAGTGACTGTGTAGCCTACATATTAGTGTTATTGAAACTGTGAATTATTTTGTTTGCATGGCTTACTGTGTTGTTAGTTACGTAAGTGAAGCCTGAAACTTGGCGTTCTTGTGATATTTTTAATCAATTAATCATATAATCCACAATGTTGCTTTGTGATAGTGTTATGTGGAAGTTTACACTTTTTATTTAACTCCATCTTTTCTCCGTCTAATTGTTTATAATTAGTAGTAAATGTTATTAAATTATCTCTCTACTATGCTTATACATACCGATTGGGAGATTCAACTATCGCAAGTGTAGTAAAAACACAATTAAATCGGTTGATAATTCAGAAAGTCCAACAAACTGTCGTATTCACGGATGTTCAAACTACGATTAAAGACAATTTCTCCATTTTGTGATAGTGTCTTTATATTTATCAAGCATGTCTGTGTAATCGTAAATAGTTGCCGTAAATGCCATTGCATTTGGATCTTCAGAAGATAATTAACTAGTTTTTCGTATCGCAATAGAGAAGGTCATTGATCATTCAAGAGCGTGCGACTCTTTCTTTGGCCGTGCCATTCAATGTCGTCCAGTTTTGGTGACCCGAGCCAAAAATAACCCTCAGAGCGTCATTCACACACGCTATGGACCACTATATCGCATAATGAGTCGATTTTATTCTGAGAGGTGACTTAGTTTATGGGTATTAGGATGACCGTTACGAAAGTATCGGTATGACATGCGATGCAAAATGTCGATGTGTTTCTTTCACAACCGTTCAAGCTGTAATGCAAACTTCAGAGCATCGTTTTATTGCCGATAAACTTTTGACCTTGACCGCTTACTATCGTTCTCCGGTCGTTCAGCAATGGAAATGCAATTAAGGTTGGTCCCGACGGTAAGCAATGTTTCTAAACATGTACGTTCTCAACTGTTATACTGTACTTTGTCGTCGCAGGGTGCAGTACACTTATTACAATACAACTATTGTATTGGTATTGTACGTCTAATACTAATGGCTATGAAGAAAAAACAGTAAATGCTCATGTCATTATGGAAAATAAGTAAACTGTTGTAGTTTGCTTCTTCTTTATGGATATATTTTGATCGAATTTGGAAAATTATTTATTTTTCATCTAGCTTTTTTTAATGCTAGAAAATTTTCACATTTTAAATAATAAAAAAAAAATCACTTTAACTATTTTCATTGTAGCAGCTAACTTAAGTAGTCACTAAACAATTTACTAATTACACTTAATTTAATTTAAACAGTGAACAATTCTGGCGATTTTAAGAAAATAGTTGAGTAAAAATCAACCATTCAAATGGAAATGCACCAAGTATGCAGGTTAGTTGCAACGGGGGTTATTCGGATGTGCAATATGAACTAACGAGTTGACCGAGTTTCGGACTGTACATCGGTTGATACCAGTGAAGGTTTATATACGTATGTAGATAACAAAACGGAGGTCAGTGCACACACTACGTCACAACTAGACTAACTAACTATTGGATGTCTTTGCGTAACTGGTTTGTTGTTAGAGCGGCAGCTGAGCGTATTAATAGCCCAGTATTTGGCAACGGCATCACACGAGGGCTCGGTATCTTTAGTTCGGTCCCGGCGGGCGGTAGCGGCCGAGCGCAGTTGACACACGATGGGGACACGGACCAACACGTCGACCGCGTCCTCGTCGTCGTCTGCCGCGGCGGCGGCGCGTCGCGCGAGATACGCTAGGTCCTCTACAGTGAGTGTGACGCAGCTGCTCAGCGACTCGTGTTCTAGTCTCATCAATAAGATAACGTCCCGTGTGCGAGGACCGTCCGCGGCGGTAGAAGGTGCTGCGGTTACCGCTCCGGTCAGGCCGCAGAGGGACCGGGACCGTGCGGACCGCGAGAACATCGAACCGCCCGCGCCGCGCCGCGTCCACCGCGAAGTCCCCAGTGAAACTACACGTAGATTAGAGGACTACAAGTACTCCGCGGCTCTGGATAAATACTCGCGTCGACGAGAGAGAGAACGAGAACGTTCCGGCGGTCGATCACTCACCAAGAGCGCCACCACTCACTCTATACTTCTAGCAGAGAAGGCGTATCCTTACGTGTCGTCCACGTCGGTGGTCCGCGAGAAGACGCCGTACCGCGGCGACAGACGGCGTCACACGGAGGTGCGACAACACAAACTACGACCACTGCGTGCGGGAAATACTACAGATCTGAGCGATTCACGGCTAACACTAGTGCCACTGAACGACAACACTGTAGTAGGCCTACCTGAGATTGCGGACGACGAGACACGACAAGCGAGACGCAAGGAGATACAGAGTCTGATATTGAAGTATACTGGGCTAGAGGACAACACGGAGGAGCAGACTAGTGCTCTAGCGCGATGTCAACAAAAGTATTCCAACTACCTGCAACACTCTAGTAGTAAACGGAACATCCCTACGACAACAACAACCACCTCCACCACTGTCGCCGCTGTACCCGTAAGTCAACAGCCAGTCTTTACGCAAATAAACTGAGGCGTTTGCCACAAAATAGTACAGTAGAACCTGTGTAGAAGTGTCATTTTCACATACCTTATCACATATTGCGAATAAAAGAAAGCAACCCTAATCGATAATTACTCCTTTATCAAGGTTCTACTGTGCAGTAGGCCTAGAGGATGTTGAGTTTATGTGACAACCACTCACTACACTAGACACGCTTGACGACTGACGTAGTGGCAAGGGGTGGGGGATCAAGGGTCAGATTGTTTGTTTACATTAACACGAGCGACCCTACAGCGTGGAACTGTTATTACCAGAGAGCACAGAATAGAAATTTATATTCTGTGCTCTCTGGTTATTACTAACTTTCGGTGTTATATTATGTTGTTTCAAGTCAAACATTAGTTTCGATAAGTTTTTAATCAATCAATGACAATTTTTTTAAACCATTTTGGGTTAGTATTCCACATTCTAATTGAAAAAAAAATACATTATGATTGTTATCCAAATTGGAAATTTTAAACATCATATTTTTAATGTCTAGTTTTTATATCAATGACTATTCTTTTATTGGGCATTTTAGGTCAATAAAATTGTAATTGAAATGAGATTTTTTCCCATAAAAATTTAAAATTTTGAGACTTGTTCTGTTCATGGACAATTCCAGCAAGATAAAAGCTTATAGTTCCCCATAAAACATTGTGTATTAAATTTTTTGTGTACAATCGAGAACTAGTTCATTGGCAGTGATAGTTAGTTAATTAACGAAGACATAGTCTAAATTTGTGTCCCTGTGGAAAAGTGCCAAGAATTCACCTTGAGTTGGTCTCCAATTCTGTATTTTGGCAGGGACACTTTGGCGATCTGACTCTACCCCAATAATGTGAACAATCTCCAACACTTTCAAATCATACATACTGACACACTCTAAATCTCACCACTATGCAGTAGGTACTTTAAAGATGTTAATTAATTCTTCTGTCTAGTTTGATTTAATACTTTGTACCTATTATTTTGACTTGCAACTTTTGATTCCAATGTAAAACTAATTTTTGATTCAGTAGAACTCCAAACCTTTGGACCCATCAAGACCAAGCCTGAATTAGATAGTAAAAAATCAATTAGGATTTATATAAAATGCATAACCTAATTAAATGTGATGAAAGTTGTATTGATTGTGAATACTGTACATTATTAGCAGCCTAAATACATCTTGGATGAACAATATTTCAGGGGTATATCTTTTTAATTTTAATTAGTGCCACTTACAAATCCTTTAGTGTTTAATCATTTCTGTTCAACATTTGGATGAATCCACTTTAAGTGATTAAATTTGTATTAATAATGAATTTTGTTCTTTTAGTTTGGTGTAACAGTACAATTTAACTTAATCAACAATGCATGTATATTTCCAAATATTGACTGTTGTTTTAGTAATTTAATACAATTTATTTTTTTTGTGTTTCACAACCTGATTACTTGTATGCATTATTAATAATGAATCTGTATATTTATATCAACACCATTTGCATACATGTGTGACTAACAAATTGAATTAAACCACTCAAATTCATTGAGCTAATAACTTTCCATGTTTGGAAAAGCAAGTTTGTTATTGTTGCATGGTGTGTTGTGTTATCATGTATGTTTTAAAAGTAAATAATTGTTTGATTTCACATGTTTATACATTATTGTAAAACATGTAATTTAATCATTGTGTCTAGATGCAACCAATGCAGTATTAACAAATATAATTTTTATACCTCATAGTTGCTGGCAATTATTTATGCTTGGCCATTTACATTTTGAGTTTCTTGTTGAATTGATATGGTGTTAACCTTCCTGTTATTGCATTGTGGTATACATCCATTACCAATTCATTTGTTAGGTCTTGGAAATGGTGTAGCTTCCTGATACAAATTTCATTCTATAAAACTATAACTTAACATCTATAAAAATAGGCAATCAAATGTAAATTGTAGGCTTATATGATCTTTTTCTTAGTTAAGAAAGAACATATCATTGTTAGTTATACTAGAATCATTAACAGTACATGTTACTAACTGCATTTGATATGTGATGGGTAATAGTTACAGTAGTCTATTGTGTATTTAAATTTTGATGGGTAGTGTATCACACTATTTTAATGCTTAACATTTATTTACTATATTTAGAAACATACTCTGTTTTAATTGCTGCTATCTAATACCAATTTTAGATTAAAATTTAGGTGTTGTTCATGTCACTTTGTAAAAATACCTAACAAACCCTTAGCACTCTTTAGTTGTCGAAAAATATTTGTGCAACTCAGTCTATTTAAACATAAGGTTGTAAAACATTACATACATCAAGTATTAAATAAATAGGCTCCTTGTTTAATCGTTTTGTTATTATGTTTTTTACATTTTCTGTCTCTTTCATTCCTGAAATTACTTTTTATAGAGGGTAAAGCTTTTCCACTTGCAATAAATAAATAAACATGTTTACTATTCATATGGTAGATATCTGCCCTGAAAACCTGAAATTCTTCTACAAAATTACATATTCAGCATGTTTGTCCTGACTGGTCTAATTCCCATGGCGTTTCTTATGATTTGTATTGCAGTATTTGCAGGGATTACATGCCAGTTCCAATGTATTGTGGTACATTTAGAAAATATAAATATTTATTATACATTATTGTGCCTTCTTCACCTTTGTGAACAAAATAATTTCTTCTGGTGACTAAACGTTCTAATTGAGATAAAATATATTTATATAACATGTTACATTAACAGAAGGCATGCTTGGAATGTCTGTTCTTTTAGTTTAATTTAATGCAATTACCAAATTGGTTACATGACTTGTTTGGGATTCCAATTGAACTTTTGCTTATCAATTCAGTTAATAGTGCAGATGAATGTTAGTTGTTGATGAATTCATCAAAGGTACCAAAATACACCAGAGGACTCGTAATAGATCAATATGGGAGTTGGCTCAGCCAATAAAACGCATACGGGTAATTGGTACTAGGTACTTTTTTAAGTATCTTTTAACGTGTCTCGAGAAAGCTTCAATGATTTGCTTCTATATACAAGGCATGTTATTTATCATAAATAAATATCACAATATTCAAGACATAAAACATCTAGAAAATGATGTTGCATTCTTGCATGTAAATTTTTTAGAGTTGGTCGAGAAATCTGTATGACCGAGTTCATTAAATCAACAGTATAAATACAACAGTCTTTTTTGTTTGCTGTGAAACGTAACCGGTTTTTAACATGACTTTTCAAAGTATGATGACGAAAGCAGCAGCATGCGTTCGTGTAACATATTTTAACGCCATCGATCTTGTGTGAGCAAACTAACAAACAGCTGAGGACTTTTGCAGTGTACTCGATTAGTGGACTGTGTTTTACTATCCATAATTGTGTTGCCTGTGCAATTTACCCTTTGGATTTACCTGTATATATTTAATATTGGTAATGTGTTCTTATGACCCATAGAAAGAGTATTGGTAAACAATTTTGTTAACACGGCAACCATTTTGCCCTCCTCTGTCTATGATGCCCATCGCTGGGTCGGTTGTCAACTTGTCGTGGCTGCTGATATCGTTGGTGGTCGTGTTGGCAACGGCGTGCTGCGTCTTTGTATATCCTGGGTCTGGTGGCGTTCCTGATGTGGTACTGCTACATGGCGCTACCGATCTCTCCCTTCGTCACTACTTCGCCACTTCGCCACCTGTAGAGCTCAAGGGCCCCTTCCATAGAGGACGACGAGGACGGCCACCTCATATACCACCATGGCGACATTCTTCAAGACAGATGTTCGTGAATAATACCATGTAGTAAAGTAAAACTTATCAGTCCCAATATAACTAAATTTTATTCATTGGGAAACCTTATACCAAGTAATATTAATGTTTGACTGGAAGCCATAAACCATTATCCATTAGTAATTCACTTGATATTTATTCAGGGTATGTAAATTATTCAATGTTTCAAAAAAATTTCTCAAATTAATTTTTTTACTGTTTAAAATCTAGAATTGGCTTTTGAGTATATTAAAATCAGTATAGTCAAGCCTGGATCAATGTAATGATCACACTTTGAAAGGTCAGTTGCACATTAAATGTGTGTATTTGATTTGAACATCACGTAAGTTTCATCAGCTCATTGTTCATTATTGGCTTTCAGATGTTTATATGCTCATCATTTAACCTGTTGGTTTGATTTCTTTTACAGATAAAATACTGGCCACCCTAGGTGAAGGAACTTTTGGAAAGGTTGTGAAAGTGAAAGACTTAAACACGTAAGTACCTACTAATACTGTTAATCCTAGAGATGGGAAATACCATTACAGTAGACACTCTCTAATCCAGCACTTCCCCACTTCGGCATTCCAGTAATCCGGCGTCTTTTGACATATGAGGTCTTCCGCGATTGCTGCAAAATTATCATCATCCACTCCTGCGGTCACGGAAACGTCATCGACGTCATGCATGATCGCAGCGAAATCATGAACATCTCACGCGGTTGTGTAGACATTATCACAATTGAAATAGGTTTACATACCTTACGTCGTCAATCCTTATTGTAGTCTCAGGCGACTAGTTAGTTTCGAAACAGTTGATATTTCATTATCAAGCCTTCGTCGTCAAACATCAAATTATTTAAACACATTGTCGTCGTCAATTTACTAAAGTTTTACATTTAGGGCACACAAAAAGTACGAATACATTAAATTAGCATAAAATAGAGCGTGGCCGGCCATAAAATGCACGAGGGACACAACTCAACTCGGCAAAATCATGATTAGCTCCCACAGCCGTGTAGACATTATCATTGTCTCCCACGGTTAGGCCTACTGGACCGTCATCGTCGTCATGCCCGATGGCGGCAATAGCGGTTTCCGATTGCGTAATCTTCGGGGACCTGTTTTAAGTGCATTTTAAGATTTTTATTTATAACATTACAGTAATCCAGCATTTTCCACTAGATCACGGTCCTATATCTGCCAGATTACTGAGAGTCTACTGTACTTTGCAATAGTCAGGAATGATCCTTAACTTGTCAGTTCTGAGCAGTGTTATTTCACTCGTTAGTTATAACATTTCAGACGTTACAAAAATAAAATATGGTAGCCTATTCTCAATATTCTGTTACCAAGGTACTATTGTTCCTTGTTTCTTGCTGTTAATAATGAGACACTATCAATGGGTCTGTGGGATTGTTAGATTTGCTAAGTTATACCGTTCAGATCTCAGACGATACAAAATACTAGGGTTTTAAAGTAATCTATTACCAAGGTAATAGGTGTCACTTTGGTAATAGTAGGCCCTATTATTCATTCTATTTTGTTAAATTATGCCCATCTAGTTAATCCTACGATTTAATATTAATTTTATTTTATGAAACCATGATCTACCTATTTTGTTTTTTAGAGTCTTACTTAATACCAAATAAAGGTACAATTTTTGGGTTTTGTTCTTGTTTGTTTACATTTTGTTTTGTTAAATTCAAAGAATAAGAAGGCAAACAATTTAGAATAAACTATTTTTATCCTATGCCTATCGGTTACCTAGACATAGTAGGCCACTTGACTCAGTACTTTGTCTTCTGTTTATCTTTTTGTAGACTTTTGGTATTCTTTTAAGTTTTTCTTGTGGTTAGCTTTTGAAAAGTAATCTAAACAACCATATTTTTCTCACAAACTTATATACGTAAGTATATACTCTCATTGAGCTAATGTTAAAGAGTTACAGACCATATTTATATTGGCAGTAGAAAGCATAGATCTAGGCACAATTTTCCTTTACTATAAAACTGATTTGAGGATTTTTTATGTCTTTCCTATGTAACCTTTCCAAACAATAGGACATCTTTCAAAACTACTTGTTTGGTTTTTGCCATGTTTCAATCAATCAGATATGGCTTAACATTAGATGGTTGAATCTCTTTGTTTCAGGGAGAACACAATTGCTCTGAAGATCATAAAAAATGTTGAGAAGTACCGCGAGGCAGCCAAGTTGGAAATTAATGCCTTAGACAAAATTGCAGAGAAAGACCCCGATGGAAAACAGTGAGTTGGCACCTTCCCCGTTGTTTGTTATTTCCGTTCTCTCTGCGATCTTGTCCTACATTTAATGTTACTTCGGTCTGCTTCACTAAGTACAAGTTTATTTTATAACTTAACCAATCTATTATATTGTTTTATTTAAGAGTCCATACTACTTATGATTGAGTGCTTGTTGACTATCAAGAATTGTAAAGGAATAAACGTTAAACAAACATACAATAATAGTTAAGAGGTATCCTACAGTTATCCTATATTTTACAGGATTAGAGTAGTTTAGATCCACAACAGTAAAGTTTAGCTCTTGAAGGGATGTAAGAAATATCTAGCCTGCTGGTAAATACTGGTTAGTCCTGCAGCTGGCTATACTTTAGTGTGCAAACTTGCGTATACTCAATATTCTTGCATAACGTTTTAGTTTGATGTCTAGGGAGTTTAAAAAACCTTGGTGTTTACCTCCTACCCCCCACGTTTTCCGGCTATGACGTCATCAAAATGGCGGCCATTGATTTTTTTCGAAGCGTATATTTCGCAAACTATTTGTCGGATTGGAATGAACTTTTTTTTGTTTGAAAGGTAACTAAGTTTAAATGCTATCTGTTTTACATTTACATATTTGTTGTATGTTTAGTACATTTTTCGTAACTTTGCAAAAACCTGTATTTTTTAATATATTTGTGTTATTTTTGTTTGTAACGTTTTATCAATACAATATATCAAAAAACTACCGATGATAAAAGTTGTAGAACGTTTAAAAAGCTTTACAAAAATACCAAATTCGATACGTTTTACCAAACTCTGTGAACGCCACCTAGTTTTTAATATAGCCCTTTCCGCCATTTTGATGACGTCATAACCGGAAACTGCAGTGGGTGCAGACGTGACACCCGAGTTGAAAACACTTCTTTAGACACATACATCAACATTGAATGGTAAAACTGTCTGCCCTAGATGCCGGACTAATAGGCGTTTTTGCGCCAAAATAGGTGTTTTTATGAGGTTTATCTAGTTTCTTGACGAAATCTTTTGAGTAAAACGTATCGAATTTGGTATTTTTGTAAAGCTTTTTAGACGTTCTACAACTTTTTTCATTGGTGGTTTTTGATATATTGTATCGATAAAACGTTACAAACAAAAATAACACAAAAATATTTAAAAATACAGGTTTTTGCAAAATTACGAAAAATGTACTAAACATACAACAAAAGTGTAAATGTAAAACAGATAGCATTTAAACTTACCTTTCAAACAAAAAAAAGTTCATTCCCATCTGACAAATAGTTTGCGAAATATACACTTAAAAAAAATCAATGGCCGCCATTTTGATGACGTCATAGCCGGTAAACGTGGGGGGTAGGAGGTAAACACCCAGGTTTTTTAAACTGCCTAAACATCAAACTAAATTGTTATCCAAGAATATTGAGTATAGGTACGCAAGTTTGCACGTACTAAAGTATAGCCAGCTGCTGGACTAGGTACCTATATATTGTATTTCAATGTAAAACTTGCCAGGAACAGGGGAATAATACCCGGAAGTGTTTCGTTTTGATGAACTATCCAAGGAGAAATTTGTATGACCTTTGCTTTACTTAAAGGTGTATAGTAAAGAATTACTACAGCCTATTTTGTAAAAAATCGCTATTAAGCTGGGTTTTCCTAGGCGCAGAAGCGGAGCGCGGAGAGAGGAACGCAGAGAGCGGACTCCTCTTGCCTTAGGTGATTTAATGTTACTGTTTTCCTAGAAGCGCAGTGGAATGCCATGTTAATCGCTTTTCCACCCTCTGCTCTACGCGCTCCTCTTCCGCGTCTAGGAAAACCTGGCTTAAGGGAGATCAAAACAAATTTAAAACAGGAATGTGTGATAGTTTACTTATTATATGATAGGGATTTTCAACAAATGTTTTGTGGTAATGTGATATTAAATTGAGTTCTAAACTAATATTTATTCATGTTTCAGCCTTTGTGTGAAGATGCTAGATTGGTTCGACTATCACGGCCATATGTGCATTGCTTTCGAAATGCTTGGTCTCAGCGTATTTGACTTTTTGGTAAGTAATGTTCCTCTAGTTTGCTTAAATATTTTATAGACTATAATGATCAGTGTTAATGGGTGTATTATGATTTGAGACGGACAAAAATTGGGCATCTGTGCGTGATATATTTATTGTCATCTTGATTTTGAAGACCAGCTCAACATGTTCTAACAAGGCTGTTTAGCTGTCAGCTGTCACTTAACAGTTTTTTTATTTCGTTTAAGGGAATTTTGATAGCAGTCCAAACCCATTAAAGGCTTGTGGGCATTCTGGCAATCAAACACATACCTCCCTTACTAAATCATGAATAAACTTATTTATAATCATCTGTGTCTAAAATTATTCAAGATATTTCCCTTTTGTTACACTTAATACAGATATTTTGTTTGTACGGATGATTAAGACTAAAAATTAGTAGATTTTTTATTCAAAAGGAACTATTTCAACTTTGACTAACTCTGGCAACATAAGCAGTCATTGGGTAAAGATTTCTGTGTTGATTGATTTAGTAGAACCTCTTAAGTAAAATAAAGGGTGGGAAGTCATTTCGGGTTGCCACAATTTTGATCGAAACTTTCACATTTATAATATTAAAACAAAAGGTTTAAAATACAAAAGGTTATAAAGTACATAAAGGAAAGTACATAAAGGTATTGGTCAAGTGATCCCTAATTGTATTAGGTTGACTACAGCTGTTTCGTTTTAATAAACACATCTTCTGGTCAAATCTTACATTGATTTATTCCATGGAATGGACGGCATTAGGTTGAAAGTTCACAAATAACACTTACACATATACGAAACATTAAACATTAATTGGCCAAAACACAAATAAAAAAACAAAACGCGAAATTAAAAAAGACATCAGACACGTGCGGCACGGGTAGAAGGTAGGTCCATAGAATAAATCAATGTAATATTTGACCTGAAGATGTGTTTATGAATACAAACAGCTGTAGTCAACCAACTACAATCTAGGATCACTTGACGGACACAGGTAATTTAAAACTTGTAAATATCAGTGATCAGAGGCTATACTATAAAAATGAAATTTTAATATAATATTAAATTTGATTAGATTAGTTTGACTAACAACTACTAGCTGAGAGTATTTACTATCTACTATCTATTACTCTTCATTAACAAAATACTGTTGTTGTTGACGTGTTTGAACAGAAGGACAACAACTATCAGCCATACACGTTAGAGCAGGTGCGTCATATCAGCTATCAGCTTTGTTACTCCGTCAAGTTTCTGCATGACAACAAACTCACTCACACGGACCTCAAGCCCGAGAACATACTCTTTGTCGACTCTGACTACGATATTGCCTACAACAGCAAAAAGGTACGTTTCTCAGGGATATAAGAACTCGTTTCAGTTATATTAGTTCAAAATAAGAGTGCATTAAAATGGTTTGTTGCGCTCATGTTAGAAGTCTATGACTGTATTTTAACATTGATTGAACTGACCAGGTCAACGATTCCATTATTGTATATGCTTTTTTAGCAACGATTCAGTGACAGCTGGTCCATTTAGATCCTGGGTGTCTATTCCTTTTGTTTAAAAAGTAGTGATGGGCGGATCCAAGAAAATGTCGGTACCGGATTTGGATCCGGATCTTGAAAAATTCGGATCCGGTCCTTCGGATCTTCAAATCCGGATCCAGATACACACTGTCATAAAGGCGGGTTAAAAAAACGTAATTAACAGAATGCCAATTTAAATCATACTGTTTAAAATTAAATTGGTAATGTTTAAAGATTAATACACCTTATATATAGAGTAATCTCCAATTGAGCCCATAATCCCTCATTTTTTGGGGACACTAAAACTTTTCAAAATCATAAAATGAAACTTTGTCCTAAGTTTGCACGACCACCAAAAGGGTATTTGTGTATGTTTTACAATAGTTTGATCTTGAGTATGCTATATCGTGGTTTTTGCATGCAGCATCCAATTTATTTATGCCTGAATCACCTCTTTTTAATCTCTTCCTTAAATTCGTTCCAGGTCCACAGTACTGATAGATGGGTATGTGAAGTTCTACAGGTAAAATACCCTGTGCCTGTGTACAAGAAGACTGTACTGTGTTCTAACTTAGAAAAATATTAGATAATCTTGTACACAGACACAGGGTATTTTACCTGTAGAGTTTCATATACCCGGCTATCAGTACTGTGGACCTGGAACAAATAACAAAGAGAGGCAAGCAAGGGGTGATCCAGGCATACGAGACCGATGTTTTCCCGTTTTTATTACTAACACAAATCTGTCTGTATCTATGTACAAGACCGATTAACCGGATAACACGGTGGTAAAAATTATTACCGGTCTAAGTGCATTTGCCCAGCTATCATTACTGTGGACCTGGAACTAAATTCGGTGGTAAAAATTGTTACCGGTTGAAGTGCATATGCCCGGCTATCATTACTGGGTACCTGGAACAAAATTCGGAGGTAAAAATTATTACCGGTTGAAGTGCAAATGCCCAGCTAAAAAATTAGCTAGAACAAAATTCGGCAGTAAACATTTTTACCGGTTGAAGTGCATTTGCCAAGCTACCATTATTGTGGACCTGGAACTAAAATTGGCGGTAAAAATTATTACCGGTTGAAGTGCATATGCACGGCTATCCAATACTGTGGACCTGGAACAAAATTCGGCGGTAAAAATTATTACCGGTTGAAGTGTATACGCCCGGCTATCCATTACTGTGGACCTTGAAAAAAATTGAAAAAACTGCTATATACAATAGGTACTGTGTATTTGCTCGGCTCCGGATTTTTTTGTAATCCGGACCGGACGTCCGCCACTTTAGTCCGGATGAGCGTACATAGATACAGACAGCTTTGTGTTTGTTAGTAAAAAATCGGGAAAAAACTGGTCTTGTACATGGATACAGGCAGCTTTATGTTAGCAAAAAAATCGGGAAAAATCGGATCCATCAAAACAGGAACCAACCCAAGATCCGGAATTTTTTTTATCCGATCCGGTGCCGGTTCCAGCTTGGATCCGGCGGATCCGGTTGTCTTATATCCGGATCCGACCATCACTATTAAAAAGTCAATACCTTCATATTTTGTACAAACAGAGACAGCGAACTCCCCAAGCTAATTAATGTTATATTAACTTTTTATCTAGGGTTTTATTAGGATAAGCTTATCTTAACACTTTGACAAAACAAATGAGTTATTTTTTAGCCTTTGCACAAAACATTCTTTCCCCAAACATGTTGTTGGTGAAATTAATGTTCATTTAGTCTTTATTACATTCTGTGACAATAATTTTAGATACCACTAACCTTTTTTCTAAAGTAGTGATGTACCATTTTCCAAATGAGCCATTTCAGAGCATTTGTAAGGGGAAAATTGATCTTCTAAACTCTAACATATTTCCAAAACATTTACAAGTAATCACAATTAGATTTTTAAATAGCATTTCTCCAAAGAACTACAATGAATTTTTGCAACACAATCCTACCCGCATACTTGTAAAGTAATATCCATCCAACTGGTATAAGATCGCAGGGAGAAACGTTAATGGATGATGGCAGAAAATCAAAAGCATGTGTATTATGACAAAAAAGGTTGGTAATCGTATAATACTCACCTATATTGCTCAATCCAGTTTTGTAATGAATAGATCTTCATTGCTATAAAAGTGTGTAGTTTGTTCATTTATTGTTTGCATTGCAGAAACGGGATGTGAGGAGAGTGAAGAGCTCAGATGTGCGGTTGATAGACTTTGGCAGTGCCACATTTGACCATGAACACCACAGCACAATAGTGTCCACACGCCACTACAGAGCTCCTGAGGTCATTCTAGGTAGGCACATGATCAGTTGTCAGTTACAGTTGTAATCTACATCTAATGGGATTGCTTTGAATTATTATGTGTACATTTGTAACGTTTAAAAATGAAATGGGGGTTGATATTTTAACTATTGTCCTGAATATGTAATTTGACTCATGCAAGAGATGCAATGAAGTGATGGGGATGACTGTAGTTATGTACCTTGCCATTAAGGGTGATAACAGTGCCCAGTGTCTGATGTTTTCAAGACAACGAATACACAATACATGCCTGCTTATAAAATTCAATCTGAACCAAAGTTAATTTCATGTAAATTTGCCATATCTTGATGTGAGGCAACTAGTGCTTCATATTTAAACTTATTGTAATTGTAGTAAAAGAGAAAGTATCATTCTACAATCAAAGAAGCCCAAACTCGTTAATTGCTGAATTTACTTAGTTTTGCCGCACTAATTTTACTCTTGCCGCACTCATTTTACTTTTGCCGCACTCGTTTTACTTTTGCTGCACTCATTTTTTCACGCACTCAAGTATTCCAACCAAACAACAAAAAACATTATGCTTTCATAGTTTAATTAGGCACCTAATATGTGTATGCTTGAAAATAAGTTGGCAACACTTAAAAGATTCTAAGACTACGATCAGTTGTTGCAGTGTTTCCCATTTCTTTCAACGCTTGGACTTAGCCTAACCTAAAACATGTTGTTTAGCGTTTAAAAGACTAATTATTTATATTCTTTATAATAACTGTAGGAAAAATATAATGTGTAACACTAAAAAAACTTTCCACACTCGCTTGCTGCACTTGCGTAAACATTTCTCTCATATGCAAAGTGCTACATTGCTCACTAGTTACACAAACTACTATTGTGTCGCTACAGGGTGTCCACCGATCCGGAAAACCCGGAATTATGCGTGATTTTTTTGAACCGGGAAAAAATCAGGAATTGTGCGTGAATTTCGTATTTTACCGGGAATTTTCAATTTGCCGCAAACGCGCATGAAGATGACGTTTCCGTGACCGCGAGAGACGACGATGATGTCCAAACGGCCGTGGGATTTGTTAGTGATTTTGCAAGGATCGCGCATGACGATGATGACGTTTACTTGACCGCAGGAGGCGACGATGACGTTTCCGTGACCGCGGGAGACGATGATTACGTTTCCGTGACCGCGGGAGACGATGATTACGTTTCCGTGACCGCGGGAGACAATGATGACGTTTCCGTGATCGTGGGTGAAGACAATGTCGTTTCCATGACCGCGGGTAATGACGATGACGTTTCTGTGACCGCGGGAGACGACGATGACGTTTTCGTGACCGCGAGACGATGATGATGTTTCCGTGTCCGCGGGAGACGCCAATGATGTTTCCGTGACCGCGGGAGATGTCGGTGACGTTTTCGTGGCCGCGGGAGACGACGATGACGTTTCCGTGACCGCGGGAGACGACGATGACGTTTCCGTGACCGCGGGAGACGACGATGACGTTTCCGTGACCGCGGGAGACGATGATGACGTTTCCGTGATCGTGGGTGAAGACAATGTCGTTTCCATGACCGCGGATGATGACGATGACGTTTCTGTGACCGCGGCAGACGACGATGACGTTTTCGTGACCGCGGGAGACGACGATGATGTTTCCGTGTCCGCGGCAGATGCCGATGATGTTTCCGTGACCGCGGGAGATAGCGATGACGTTTTCATGACCACGGGTGACGACGATGACATTTCCGGAACCGCGGGAGACGACGATGACGCTTCCGTGACCGTGGTAGATGATGATGACGTTTTCGTATCCGCGGGAGACGCCAATGATGTTTCCGTGACCGCGGGAGATGACGATGACGTTTCCGTGACCGCGGGTGACGATGATGACGTTCCCGTGTCCGCAGGAGACGCCGATGACGTTTCCGTGACCGCGGGTGACGATGATGACGTTCCCGTGTCCGCAGGAGACGCCGATGATGTTTCCGTGACTGCTGGAGATGACGATGACGTTTCCGTGACCACGGGAGACGACGATGACGTTTCCATGACCGCTGGTGACAACGATGACGTTCCCGCGTCTGCGGGAGACGCCGCTGACGTTTCCGTGACCGCGGGTGACGATGATGACGTTTCCGTGACCGCGAGTGACGATGATGACGTTTCCGTGACTGCGGGTGACGATGATGACGTTCCCGTGTCCGCGGGAGACGATGATGACGTTGCCGTGTCCGCGGGAGACGCCGATGATGTTTCCGTGATCGCGGGAGATGACGATGACGTTTCCGTGACGGCGGGAGACGACGATGACGTTTCCGTGACTGCGGGTGACGATGATGACGTTCCCGTGTCCGTGGGAGACGCCGATGATGTCTCCGTGACCGCGGGTGACGATGATGACGTCTCCGTGACCGCGGGCGACGATGATGACGTTCCCGTGTCCGCGGGAGATGCCGATGATGTTTCCGTTACCGCGGGGGACGACGATGACATTTCCGTGTAACCGCGGGAGATGAGGATGACGTTTCCATGACCGCGGGTGATGACTATGATGTTTCCGTGACCGTAGGAGACGACGATGACGTTTCCGTGACTGCTGGAGATGACGATGACGTTTCCGTGACCGCTGGTGATGACGATGACGTTTCTGTGACCACGGGAGATGAGGATGACGTTTCCATGACCGCGGGTGATGACTATGATGTTTCCGTGACCGTAGGAGATGACGATGACGTTTCCGTGACCGCTGGAGATGACGATGACGTTTCCGTGACCGCTGGTGATGACGATGACGTTTCTGTGACCACGGGAGACGATGATGACGTTTCCATGACCGCGATTTAACCTTGAGTCTGGCTTGACACAAAATTTCTAAATTACACACTTCTAGAAAGTTTTATTTTTTTTTGTAATATCTTCAATTACCTTTAACGTGGTATTTATTTAATGTGTTTGGAAGGGTTTAAAACTTAAATTGGCTAATTTCAAATTCAAATTCTCTTTATTCATTCACAGTACAAGTTTTTATACAATGAATAGCGTCAAATAAATATAAAGATGAATTATGCTTTACTTATCGCTAAAACAATCATTATCTTTACAAAACAAATGTTAAGCTTAAGAAGAATAAACAAAACAAAATTAAATCAAATCATCTTTCTAAACTATCATTTATGATATCTCTTGAATTCCAAAATTCATCCAAAGAATACAAAGACAATGAAAGGAGATAATTTTTCAATCTTTTTTTAAAAACATCAAAACTTTTTTCCTCTATTATAATTTTAGGTAAATTAAATAAGATTTTTAAGCCAATGAAACTACATTTCTTCTCAAAAAACTTTAATTTATGTCGTTCAACCTGCCTAGTATGCCTTAATTTATAGTGTCGAATATTTGTACTAATAGTTTGGAGGCTTAATTTTTTTAAATGGCTACATGAAATTGTTGTAATTTCTGCATTAATTATATCTGTAGGTCACTTGAAAAACAACCCATAACTCCAAAATTACATACTATATGAGAGTACGTAAAGACCGGGTTGGTGTAGTAATCCTTACAGAAAATTTAGTAAAATTGAAATGATCAGTATTAGGAATCTATTTTTCAGTTGTCTGTTCAGAGCTTCGATAAATTTTGGTATCAACATATCACAATTTTTAAGTAGTTATTAATAAATTGCAGGGTTAAGGATTAGTTTTTAATTTTCTGATTATTTAATCAGTAATATATAAAAATTGAATACTTGTGTCAGGTAATATTACAGTAATCATAAATTTTGTTTCTTTAACTGAGATAAAAAAATAAATAAAATAAAAAATGTTGCAGAGCTAGGCTGGTCCCACCCGTGTGATGTCTGGTCTATTGGCTGTATCATCTTTGAACTCTACCTGGGCATCACACTGTTCCAGACTCACGACAACAGGGAACACCTGGCCATGATGGAGAGGATACTAGGGACCATTCCTTACAGGTAACTGACAACATACATTTGCGACCTGGAGGTGCCTCACTTGACTTCTAGCATAGACTAAGCAACACCAGTAGACTTCTCTTCCCATTGTAAATTTTGAAGCTTGTTTTACGTGTCTAGTTTATGTACGTCAACACAAGGAAAATCACAAAAGTTGCAATAACTTTTGAACCGTAATTGTTACTGCAATGGGGGGTTGCTCTATTTTGTAACTTTTTGTTGTCTCATTTTCAAATGGTATTAACCCCGTTTGACAATTTCCTGATGTACATTGTTGATGAAATTGTGAAAAAAGATTAAATGCATCCACTGCACCTGAAGATCCTTTAAGTTTATATAGGCTAACAGAAGTATACACACCCTTATTTTGTCGAGGGAAGGATCTGTATTAAATGGAATTTTCCTAAAGAACATTACCACCACCAATGACAATATAAACAGTAAAACAGTGATGGGGAAGGGGTAATGTAGGGAAGCTAAAAGATAATATATTCGACCTGAAAACAATCCACGTTAGTTTTGTTGTCACAAGTCCCTTTGATGTGGCTGTGCTCATTGAATTAAATGATACCCCACTTTCTTTATTTTCTGTGGTGACTATTGACTAGGTTACCAAGTGGCCGTGGTATAAATCTCCGTGGTTTAAGAGTCTGATTGGTATATATAATGTTAGTTTTTCTTTTCCTAGGACGTTAGGCACGAGCCCGGAATTGTTTTTCACATTACTTCAGGCTAGACCTAGGGGTTACGGCATTATCACTTAGATAAAATCCATTGGTGATTTGGCGGGATTCAAACTCAGGACCCCAGGAACCGGAGTCCCGCGCTCTAACCACTAGACCAGCTCGCTCCCCCTAAATATAACATTAGTACCATTATACAAGGTTAAAAAAACGAGAATTTTTAATTTTTGCAAGCTTGGAGAGTTTGATTGTCAAACTTTTTTTAAGTGTGTAAATGCCCCTTTACGATAGATCTTTTGGTTGTTTTCTTTGTCGACTTTGTAAGATATGATGTGTTTTTATGAGTTTGGCAATTTTAGTAATTGTTGAAGTAAATGGCACAAAGAATTTGATCAAAAAGAGTTTACAAATTTTTGAAAAAAATGGAATTAAGTGTAAGAAACTATGTGAAGTGTTATCAAGTGTGAGTCTGCTTTGAGAACGGCCTGGACACAACAACACGGTTGCCTGACATAGCAACCGATTAGAACATGGAAAAAGAGCAAGAAATAGTTTTGAATGATCACCTAATCACAATATAGAGAAGTCGCTGATAATGTTGGAGTATCATTTGATAATGTCATGGCTATTGTTTTGGTATGAAACGTGTCACAGCACAAACAACTGTTACAAAATTGTTAACTTTGAACCATGACAGTAGTGAAAAAGGCTCAACAATGCAGTCGAACGTGAAGGTTACGCTCACTGTGCTTGATTTCAATGGCACAGTGCATCATGATTAATCATCAATAAACACTGTACTCTGGCATTTACATTATTGTTGTGATTTCAGGATGGCACGTAAGAGTAAGACAAAATACTTCTACCACGGCAAATTAGACTGGGACGAGAAAAGTTCAGCAGGACGTTACGTCCGTGAAAACTGCAAACCCCTTCATGTAAGTTTTCTTACTTTACGCAACAGAGTTGAATATTGAATTACTAAATCGATGGTCCCCCCCCAACCAAATTCACTGTTTGAGGATTTTAGACTGCTTTCGGCCACAGCTTTTGTATTGGATCTTGTGCGCTTGCCCAAACGCCAAACAAATTTTAGGCGTTAGGATTTAAGAATTTTTTTGCGAAGCTCAGTAACGGTTAAAATAACAGGATTAGGGAAAATAACAGGAAAGAAAAGGAACAGGTTAGAATCTTTCTTGATATTTTCCAAGTTATTAAAAACACATTTCCATCCGTGAGTCCTTTTGTTCCGGCGTGATGATTTTGAGCTCCAATATAAAACACGTTGAAATATTCGTGTAATATTTCTCAAATAGATTCTTTGTCAATTTCTACTGTCCAAGTCATTGTACAGAGACCCAAATGACCAACTTGATGGATTAGATTATTAGGCCCTACCAATGTTTTTATAATTTGAAGATATTGGATGTCCTGGGCGTGGATAACCTTTGATATGTGGATAATCATCATCTCTTTATTGAGACGTTTACACCTCTCGAAAACCTGTGTATGTGACATACATTGATCCCCATACATTTGTTGTACGAGATAACAAGTCTGTATTGCGGACTTACTTAGCTTCACAAAAAAATTCCCATAGACAAGTTGCTCCATTGTTCTATATTGCAGATGAGAGACGAATCCGCGATCTTACATCTACCAAGACCATGGCTAAACTAAGAAACCTATTGTAGAACTGGTCTAAAATTAGAGGATGGAATTTTTTCCCTAAGAAAACCAGTCTTATTATTTTATAGTTGCGCCTCATTCGTACAACCCAATAAAAATCAGCTAATGATGCATACCAAGTCCTGAAAGTCTGATGATTTTAAATTGTTTCGTCACTACCACTGAAGCTGATTTATTATTCTAATAGCATAATACACTTCATATTTTATTTTATAATATTGTATCTTACCTTAACAAGACTTAGTAGCATATTTATTTGCTGCCTTTTACAGGGTTAGGCACAAGTCTGGTCACCCCTAGTTAACTTTTTAATGTGTTGCAGTAGGAAAACAAAACTCGGCACAGGTTTACAACATTACATAAAAAAACTGCACTTTTTCATTGAAGTAACAACTTTGCCCCGGCCCCTAAATTGGGGTATTTTGGGGGCAGCCCCATATTTTCAAATTTAAACCCCCCTCATTTTAAAGGGTTTCTCAAGAGAAACTAAATGGCGTAAACCGGAGGTTGATATCCCACCCCTAACAAAAATGGCAGCCATTTTAAAATTTGAGATGGGCAAGCAAGTTAAAGTCTGGACTAACCAAGTTAACTTTTTAACACATTGCAGTAGGAAAACCAAATTCACCACATTTTTACAACATAAAAAACTACACTTGCAGTCACAACTTTGCCCTAGCCCTTAAATGGAGTATTTTGGGGGCAGCTCAAAATTTTTAAGTATAAAGCCCCATCAAGTTACACCTAATTTTGAAGACAATCAGTTAAAAAGAATATTGGCGAACCCAGAGGTATCTATATCAAACCAATACAAAATGACAGCAACTTTTCGTTTTCACATAACATGAAAAATTGTAGGTTTTTATGTTGTAAACATGTGCTGAGTTTGGTTTACCTACTGTAACGCGTTAAAAAGTTAACTGGGGATGTCCTGACTTTTGGCTAACCCTGTATAATCAATATGTCATAAGGCTGGACTTTGGTTAAAGTGTGGGTCCTGTGACCTGGATTCAAATCCTGATAATCACAATTAATTTGCTTTAACGATGTGATAATGTCTTAAGTAAAGATATTTGGAGATCACACTAAACTGCAGTACCTATCTAGAAAACATCTCCAATAAGAGAACTTTCTGTGTATTTGAGAACTCCCGTTTTCTAAAAGCTGTTTTTTTTCATCAATGAATAAATTTTTCATCTGCTACTTGTTGAAAAAAAGAGAGTTAAATATTTTTCAATGTTATAATATACTATCTTATCAGTGATATTGCAATAATCAATGAAAATTATATAGGTACATATAAGAGACAAAAACATTAACATTTGTTATTTATGCATGTTTGAAAACTTTTGTTTTACTAAACAGCTTATGATGTATAAACTAGTCCAGAGTTTCATCCGTGATGAACAATAATAATTTCGTCACTACCACTGAAGCTGTCTTTAGGATATTGGTTGTTTTAAAGCAAAGAACTACCTTAATTTTGACAGCTTATTACTGTTCTTTCTTACTGTGTAATGTTAAATAGTTACTTTAATCAGCTTATGATGTATAACAATTATTCATATGATACATGTGATGAACATATATTTCGTCACTACCACTGAAGCTGTTAATTAATTAGTTCTCAAATTTCTCACGTGTATATACTTTTTTCACCTGAGGGTCCTCAAAAAGTATGGAAATAATTTTTTGTGAATCATTGGAGATTCAACAATGCTTTGTGAATAAGTAATACAACTAAAAATCTACTTTTAAAACCTAATATTAATTTTTTCTATCATACTGGCACTGGGGACGTTCACAAGGAGTTACAAGGAAATCTTAAACAATAGTTTAAGTCGAGTAGTACATAAATTAAAGGTTTCATTTGGTAAAACGCATTGCCACAACCCTAATGTTGAAAGGTTAATCCTAGCCAAAACGTTGGCAGTGTAGATACAAACCATTTACGATCCTTTATGTGTACTTTACTTCAACTGTATTAGGCCTACAAGAAATTATAGACAATAAACCCAGCCAATCCAATACATTAAATAATCCATCAATCAATAGTTTTGATTTTTTACACAGATTAAGCCATCTGGGTGAAATTCTGGGTAAAAAAAAAATCCATTGAAAATAAAATAATTCAAACAATACCTGATTGCCATTTTCTCTCTTAGGGAGTAAATCTCTTTTAAAATGTTAAGATAAAAAATGAAAAAGCTCTTGGCCTTCATCATTGCCTCCTCTAATCCAAGGCCAAGGGGAGACAAAAGTGGCAACACTTTATTAATATATATAATATATTTCACTGCTATTCATTCTCCTGCACTGACTCACCCTCTGCTCTGTTTGATATGTCACTTGCACAAAACTTAAAGAACCACGTCCAGATAAATTAAGTTAAAAGAAGCAACCAACCTAAAATAAAAAATAACTTGACAAAATCTGTTTGTGTTACAGAGGTACCAAACTGTCGAGGATGAGGACCACCGGCAGTTGTTTGACTTGATCTCACGTATGTTGGACTACGACCCCAGCGAGCGCATCACGCTGGCCGAGGCAATGAGGCATCCATTCTTTGACAAGATCCCTGCACACCAACGCCTCGGCACTGCAGAGAGGAGCCACTCCTTGTCGAGATGAAGGCGGCCGTCGCCAGTATGACAAGCTGGCACTTCGGACTGGTACGGCTACTTGGACTATAAGTGATACTAGTGAACAGCCGACGTTTAACTTAAATTTGAGATTATTAGGATACTTGGACTCTTAGTACCTGCAGTGAGGTCTAAATGTGGCACAAGCGTGTACCTTTTGGTTTGGCGATTGCTATGTACATTTTGTATTTCTATGTTGTAAACAATTGTTCATACTTTGGTATTAACATTGTCGCATGTTTAATACCATATTTTTCTTAATAAATTATAAAAAGAGGGTTTACTTATTATTTCCTCTTGTTTAAAATGTGTGCATTTATTTATTTTTTGTAAGAACTACAGTTAAGATAGATTTGAATAAATATTAAGGAAAGTTATTATAAATACAGTTATCCCTATCTGAATCAACCCTCAACTAAAATCTCTGAATATTCAAATTGTTTCTAACCCTCTTGGAAATACCCTAAGGAAATAGGTATTCTCCTACAGTCACCCGAAAAACTGGCTTCCTTGTACTGTTTATAATACAGAAAGCTGCTAATTGCTGCATATTTATACTTTGTCGTACGGTTTATACCTTGGCGCACATCAGGATTCCAACGAAACAACACAAAACAGCGTGGTTCTATTATGCACGTAATCTGTGTATGCTTGGAAATAGGCTGGCAATACTTGAAGATAATAATACTATGAGCAGCTGATTGAGTATTATAACTACGATTTAACCTGTCATTTTGTGTTTATAGTTTATGTTCTCTTATCAGTATTTCTGAACTTTCTGGACTTTTCTTTTAAACGTTTTTAAAACATTCCTACGATCTTAATAAACAAGAAAATACCTTTAAAGCATTTTTTTTAGGCGCGGAAACCACTGCAAATTACAAAAATACTACAAATACTACAAAAATACAGAACTATTTTCTCAAGTCGCGGAGCACATTGCTTGCCGAGGAAAAAACTGAACCTAAACCTAAAGCGTATAGTGTTTGAAAGACTAATATGCTTTATAGGGACTGTAGGAAAAATATAATGTGTAACACAAGTGCAAAAGGCCTTTGCTGCAGTTGAGATAATTGGGCACGAGGCTCGTGCGTAAACGTTGCTCTCGTGTGCGCAAAGTGCCACTTTGCTCACTTTTTACTAGGGGTGTGCGAGTACTCGAACCTTCGAGCTTTTTGGTCGAGCTTTTCATTATTCGGCTCGGCTCGAGGCATTTTGAAAAAGCTCGAAGTTCGAGCCGAGCTTTTAATACTAAGTCAAAACTAAAAAAAAACACTTAATTTGGGTCGTAATTGGAAACAATGTTATCACAATTCTACGTTGTTCAATCATTCGAGGTTTGATAAGCACGAACCTCAGCTCAGTCAAGACGCATTGATTATCGATCGTAATTTTGAGGAGATAGTAAAGAGACAAACTACCACCTATCGCGTTGTCTTTCTAACACAGCTATTCGTATCGTAAAGCCGGGTATCCACAGTGCGAGGCTGCTCGCTGCGAATGCCTCGTGCCATCTGCCTCAGGGTGAGCTCTTTAGCTGGCAGCTAGTTTGTAACCACGAATGCTCACTGCGAGCACGCGAACATGGCGCGAGCCACCCGTATTCGTAAGACAGTCGGTACAATGGTGTTTTTCCATAGAAAAGTGCAAGTTTCTGCTGCTGCTTTTATTGTGATGGCAACAATTATTAATAAAAAGCAACAGAAAAAGCGACGTAAACATCGTTGGTGGGTCAAAAAGATTTATCGAAATCGGTTTGAATATGGGAACAGACTCCTAGAAGACGTGAGGTTCGAAGAAGACGTGACAAATTTCTTGCGAATGTCCAAGGAAGATTTTGAACATTTAATTACATTGATAGAGCCTGCCGTGGAAAAACGCGATACCTACATGCGAAGTGCTATTACGACCAAGGAAAGATTAGCTGTTACTCCGAGATTCTTATATTCTGAGATTCTTAAATTCTTATACTCTGAGATAGTAATCTGAGATTCTTGATTACTATAGCCTCGACCTTTTACGTCGGTAAGACCCCAACAGAGACGTAATATTCTTTTTCAGATCTTTCACCGGAACATTCATTGACTGCGATATTTCGCGCCACAAGTCTTCTCTCTTAAACTTATTATAATACTCTCGGTGTTTAGAGTCCCAAAGCAAACGTTTACTTTCGTAACACTTCACTAATCTCTTATTCTATCATGAGTATCCATGATGACAGTTTCGCGTGGAATGGTTTGCTGAGAACAGTCTGGTACGGTGCGAGGCAGACAGTGCAGGTATCCACTTAACGCACAGCTCGGGGTGAGGCACCTTTGAGCACTGCTCTGAGACCGACAAGTACACGGCTCGCCTCACATTGTGCGACGCGAGCGCCGCACAGGTGCTCGCAGTGAGCAACCCCGGTATCCACAGTCCGAGGCAAAGCCGAGCATTCGCAACGAGGCATTCGCAGCGAGCTGCCTCGCACTGTGGATACCGGCCTTAATATACAACGCAGTGCGAGTGCGTGATTGGCTCGTCGCTATGACGACACACGGTTGCCCTGACAACCTACAGTGCGCACTGAGCACTGCGCCTTGTGTGGGAGGGGAGATTATACCAACAAACAATTTCAGGAATTCTATTTTGGGACGGATGAAAGATAAGTAAGAAACAAAAAGTGGTCACATGTGCAAATGTAGTGGGCGACACAATAAGGCTATAAACAAGTATCAATAGTTGTTCCTTGTTTGTTTACTTTTTCAGATTCCTTATCAAACGCCCCTATCTGCTATCTCTCTTTCTCTCTCTGCTCTCTCTAACAATGTACTGATTAAACAGTGGTTGACGACTTTTCTACTTATAAGTTTTTTCTACTTATAAGTTTCCCTGCGGTTATTTTAGTTCAATCAATCCCATAACCTTTCTAATGTTTATCAAAATAATTATCTGTTTTGTATTTTATTTCCTTTAAACCAACCCCTATTTACCATCTGTATTTTATAGAATAAAATGTTTGTTTATAAAGTTTGACTGGCCACACAATTTTGTACCTATTTTATTTTGTTTTAAGTAACAGTTACTTTGATGATTATTTAAATATCAATAAGTGGTGCGTGCTGTAATGAATGCTTTTTATTATCAAAATAAGTAATGGATTATTAATTTTTGATAATACATGGGTCATTGAATACCATAATGTGATGTAGTTTCCTATTTGTAACTTGCAAATAATAATAATTGAGAGTTAATCCTGGAAAATGAAAAATAGTGAATGTATTCATAACCCTGTTGTCAAAACAGCATCGCGGGTGTAAGGGTTTATTGTTTCAGAGGCTAGGGTGTTTCAAGGACAAAGTGCTGGGCCTCCCGGCTCAGGGGGGGAGGGGTGGTGGTGAGACTGAGAGAGAATAGGGGGAGGAAACTGGTTTTGGCTATTTATTGATTAGTTCACCGACCCTTCTAGATAACAGAATTTAGTGACAGTGTTAAATCATCCTGTTCATTATTTCATTTCTTGTTTACTTTGTGTGTTATTCTATTAATTTTAGTGTTTTGGTCTATTTCCTCTATATGTCAATTATATATTTTTTAATATATAATTTTACTTTTTACTTTGTCTCTTCACCTTTTTGGATCCAAACCAATCATGTTCTTTTTGATTAATACGATTCATAAAACAAAAATATTTTGTGCATGGAAAACAACAAGAATAATCACGTGTTTTTATATTTATTTATTTATACAAAATGGAATAAAATATTCATAGTAGTTACAATATACATATTTAATCGACTTGCTAGTTGTTTTGTTGTCATTCAAGATAGCTCTGTTCTGTTATGAAAGACAATCTGATTGGCTCAGTCTGCACTGCATATCTCGTCAGGCCTTCAATCATATCCTTTTATTTCTTGCTAATTTAGTTCAGTTCAGTTCTTATCGTGATTATCTACTATTTGATGTCTTGACAATTCTCAATGTTTTTAGACATATTAAAATAATATTGTGTTTATTTAAAAATTGACTGAACATTATTATTATTATGCACTTTTTGAAGAAAAATGTTTAATAATTTATTTTTTTGATAATGTTCAGAATTCAGAATTATGTTTGAAATTCCAGATAGGGTTAGTTGCAAAACATTTTTTGCTGAAAATAAAATCATAACACTCTCTAATATTTTCATTTTTTACAATTTAGTTTCCGTTAAAGAGAATCTGAATAAATTTGTTCCTTGCAACTCAATCCATGGGTATATCACCAGACAATCAAAAGATTTATATATTCCTCAAGCCAGGCTATCAAAATTTATCAAAAGTTATAAATACTTGCAAATAAAACTATTTAATAAACTTCCAATATATTTTAGAAATCAGGAAAGTATTCATTTGTATAGGTCAAAATTATCAGATTGGCTTACAAGTCGTGCTTTTTATTCAGTTGATGAGTTTTTGCAGAATGAAGATTTTTTAACGCTTAAATGTGAGGCCAAGCAGTCTTGGTGATTCTTTGTTCTTGTTATGGTCTTTTCCCTGTTAATTTTAAAGTTTTTATTATTACTGATGCTTTATCCTTTTAACTTTATTTTAACATTTTCTGTAGAATATTTAATATTTTATTTAACATATGTAACAAAACATGTTGACCTTGTCTATTGAAATGTTTATAATACCAAACGACAATAAAGATTTATTATTATTATTATTATAAGGTGACGCTAGGAAAAGCTCGGCTCGAAAAAGCTCGAGCTCGAAAATATTTTAAAAAGCTCGGCTCGGCTCTGCTCGAGGTTGAAAATCACTATTCGCACACCCCTACTTTTTACACAAATAACTATTGTGTATTAAAGCTTAAGCTGAGTGTGGCCATTTAGTGCAGTAGAAATAATTGAAAATATAGTTTAAGGTAGAACTAATTGCAACACAAATGATTCTTGCTGTGAATGGTAGGTAGTATGCTTCTAATCAACATACTAAAAATATACATCCGTACTGTGGCGCAAAATACGTTTTTTCGGCCGCCATCTTGAAAAAAGGGTAACAATTTTAATATTCTTAAAAATAACTTTTTGGGTGTCAAATTATTGGAAATTTCATGCTGAAAAATGTTATAATAGTGGTTAGAAGCACTATTTAGAAATACGATCGTAATACAAAATACCCCCGCCGCAGCAATCCTGCAGACTAAACCAATTTCCATTTGTCTTAATTGATTTTCAATTAAATCTAATAATTCAGTTTTAAAATCTTTGTACAACTAAATTTGGAGTTCTACTGGACTGATTTTATTAACTAA